CGGAAGAGGAGATCCTTAAGGATCTGTTTGGTACTGACCTGCATGGGAAGTAGTGCTAATGAAAATTGTGGCTTGGGCTAAGTTGGGAGGCATTGTCTGTACGGAGGAGGGAAGGCCTGTGCAAGAAGAAGTGGATAACCCTGAAGCCTGGAGTAATAGAAATGGGGTGGAATTCAGTAGTGCAAATATGAGGTCCTGCAGTGAGGTGCTTGTCACAATTTCTGGTGCAGCTCATTAGCTGGAAACATCCAAGTAGAATTGAGCAGCTTCTATTTGGAGTTGTCTTATGTTGGCTTTACCATAGGGTTTTACTTTATCTTCTCTCTTGATAAATGGTTTGACTGATATTGTGTTTTATGTCTTGTGTTCCAAAAACAGTCTTTCTGCTTTTAATTAAGTTTAGTTCTGTTTGGAATCAGGACATTTTCTAGATGGCTAATACTGGATCACTTCTGACTTGTATGCATGTTGGTTGGTTAGAACCTGTAGCAGAAGTTGTGTGCACTCTTGAGGGTTTGCTTTTTTCCTGCTGCTTGTTACAAAGGTATGCAGTGTATAGCTTGTACTGGATTACTGGTCAGGACTTCACTTTTGGGGAAAAGGGTGCATACGTTTGGCAAAGAAATAGGTCTGCATCCAAGGAAAGAGGTTCCTAGCTGAAGTAATTTTCCTGGTTGGTGTATCACAGTGTCCTTCTACCACTTAAACTGCTCAGATTTTCAATGCATGTAGTATTTGGCAGTTTGTCGTCTGTCAGGGAGCATATAAGACTTGTGCTGAGTAGTCTGCATTGAGAGCAATAAAAAATAGTGAATGGAAGCCAGTGTGTTGACTTATCTTTAAAGCTTTTGTTTTCCCTTTCCATGTTGAACTCAACTGTGTGACCATGGGCTAACAGTTACCAATTTTAAATAGCTTTGGGCTGGTGACATGGCAAAGGTATCTTAAGTGATCTTTCTCCGATAGAATCAGTGTTTCCCCTTGACAAAGGGAAGGAAAGGACTTGCAAGAGCCGTGCGTTTGTGCAAGCTGTTGCCCAAGAAGTGGAGTTGAGGGGCTTGAGGCTTTTTAAGGTGCAAAGTTCATAAAGCCTTTCTGTTGAATCAACTCAGTTGAAGTCCCTTATTTATATTAGGCTTTTATGAAAAGGTCCCAATCTTGATGGGGGTGAATGTGGCATGTCTTGTAAACAATCTGTATAACCAGATAAGCAATATGTGAAAAAGGGACATAAGGAAACCTATGAAAGGTCTGTGTACTCGCATTTAACAATAATTCAAAGAAAATAAATATGAAAACTACGTTAATCTTTCTCACAGCCAGTTTGTTAAGCATTGGCTCACTTGTAAGCATTTCAACTGCGCTGCACCTCAAACAGATTTGGAGGAGGACAGCATATATGGACTGTGGGCTACAGCAAGTGTTGCTTTTGTTTTTTGGCTGTTTTTCATTCATGGTAGGCTGAACACAGGAATAACAAAAGGGGAGTGAACTCAAGATAGCAGAAGTGAGGATGCACTCAGTAAAAGTGGCAGAATTGAGAGGCTTGAAGATTAGGGTGGAAGCTTGAAATGGCTGTGGTGGCAAAAGAGGGGTATGTTGGAAGGATCTGAAAAGGGTCATGACGCAACTGATGGATGAGGAGGATCGTTTTAGCAGGTGTGTTTTGTGGGGATGAGAGTATGTGACTGGAAAAGAGAGATTGCCATAATGCACGTGAAAGCTGTGCATGTGTATGAAGTTTGGTCAACAAGACTGGTTCAAAATATACTGGTGATTGGAGCTTGTGCAGCAAAATGTCCATGGAAACTTATAGATGGTCTGTGGCTAAACCCCAAAGCTTACTTTGAAACCATCAGCCTTCATTTAAAGCCTTCATGGCTATTTTTTGTTTGTCATCATCCTGAGTAGGAGGAGGCATTCTATCATCCATAGTTCTTTTTTAGAGAGACTTGCTAAACTGTACAATATTAGAGTATTAACAAAAAAAGCATTTTAATTTTTTTTTAATGTTCTTTAGCATGTTATTGATATTCCACCATAAAATACTTCTTAATATTTCTGTTTTCTTTTCAGAAACCATTCTATTACAGACTACTTCAAACCAGCTTCAAAACAAGGTAAGTAAACTATGTGAGTTTTCTTAAAGTATTCAAGAATACAATAAAATCCAGTTAAACACAGTTCTAATCTATAGTAGATCCTGGTCACGTAAACAGACATAGTAGATGGTGATGATGAACAAATAAACTAAAAGTACCACGGGATCCATTTTGGTAGAGAAATAATGGCTAGTTAAAAAAATATTTATCTCCTGATTAAGCTAGGTTTTGGATGGTAAACTCCATTACAGCATAGGTTGTGAACACTTGCACGTGATAAAATTATAACAATACAGTAAGTAATCCCCAAATGATATAATTGCATTCATTTTGTTTGAGAAGAGGATAGCAGCTTTGGCTCTGGGTTTTATACTTTATATTTTGTCTAATTTTTCCCACTTTTTTTGGTATCTTGTACAAAAACTAACTTCTGTGTTTTGTATTTTTTTAAAATGTTTTTATAAAGACAGAATTGTGTTATACTCCTCAGAGAGAAGAAATGTAAAAAATGGAGAGGTTGGACTGTCAGTCATACATGCAGAACGATTTGAAAAGGCAATATCTTCTCCAGAGAAAGGTAGAAGGAAAAAGATGCCAGTCCAAACACCAACCAAGAGTCCAGTGCTAGATGCCCTTTTGAGAGAAGCTAAGAAAGAAAAAAAGGACAATCTAGCCACTTCAGAAAACAGTAGAAAGTACATTGCGCAGAGCACCATATATCCGAAGGTTGTGGTTAGAAAACTCTTTTTAGAACAGTTGCAAGACCCTGGAGGTATAACCAAAAAGCAAAAGGATGTTAAGCATGACCTGGGGAGAAATGAGAAGGGTCCAGTTTTACCAAGAACACCGTTGTCTTGTGGCAATAGTAGAGAATGGAGGACTGATTATGTGGATCTAGAGGAGGCCAGTTCAGGCTCCAACAAACGGGTTTTGACACCAGAAGCTGATGCCCTGAAGGACAACGCCAGAAGTATTGGTAACATGAATGGTACTTCGTGGAGTCCAAGAGCAGACCACTCCCCAATGCTGCAGCGCACCCCTGGTAATTCTCAATTTAGGTTATCCTTGGACTCTTACAACAGAGAGAGAGAGAAGAAGAAACAAAGAATGGAACGAGCTAAGCAGCATTCTGTCACCCCAGTAAAGGCACTCTCTGGAACAAGCGTATCAAATCAGGTACGTCTGAAAATGAGTTGGGCTTGGCCCTTGATGACATATTGAATGGGAAATTAAATAGACTCATTTACAGAATGAATATAACTTATAGTGCACTCCACTTGCATGCCTGGTGTGTAAGTCAATAATTCCTTTAATTGCATAACACAATGCCAGTCCCAGTTGTCTTTGCTTAACAAACTGATACACTGTGAGTGGTCAGGTAGGCTCTAGCTTGTATGGCTTCATTCCTTCTCTGCTACATGCAGTACCCTTAAGCTTAAGGGGACCGCAGTGAGTAGAACTAGAGAGAACTGAATTGCTGTCAGCTGGCTGATCAGATTGCCTAGCAGGGGCAAAATGCACAGGGGTGATGGAACAATTGCATCTTTTATACCTTTGTTGTACATTGAATGACTGTACAAATTGATTTGGATTTTCTTACATAATCACTAAATTATGTCATCAGGTACTACACAGGTAACCCCACACAGGGGTACCCTGTTTCAGGACTGTACTATGCATATCAGTTAATTATCTGGTTATTGTCAAACCTCCCTGTCTTCTTGTATCACTTGACCTTTTCTTCCAGGTGTGATCTGTGAGGTCCTTAAAACCCCCCATCATTATTTTTGGCATCCTAACCAAGCCTGGTACTATCTTTCTTAGTCTGATATTTATCACCCTCCATCACTGGAGAGGGAAGGAGGGATTGCTCCATTAGAAGCCGAGACCTCATTAAACTGAGGGGAAGGCTGGTAGAAGCTGAAGTCTTGCTGAACCAAGGTTTTGCTAAATAAAGCCTTACCAAGAGTTTCAGGGGATCAGGGACTCTACCCACTTCATCATGCTGGACAAACTAAACTGCTTAAATGCATAACATCTTTCAGGCCTGTTTTCTTTTATAACTTAACTGAATTCAATGCATGCTAACTGGAACTGCCTGCTTTATAAGTAAGCTTATAAATGGGTGCAACTGTTATGTCTCCATCAAGGGAAATGGGTATAAGCTGCTATGATGCAAGTGTTATGCCTCTGCACATTTTTTTTTTTTTTTTTTTTTTTTTTTTTTATGTAAAACATTGCTAAGCTGATTAACAGGTACTTTTAGGTAAGTCAGAAACACAAGCGTAAACTTCTCAGCTGCTTGTGTATCTTTCTGCTTTTAACAAACCAAGTATAGCTTGACGCTAAGCACTGATCTTGAGGCCCTTACTAATGAGACATAACCATAAGCTAGTGGTTCTTAACTTTTTAGACACAAAACTTTCTTTGGAAAATGCCAGCTCTTAGGTTTCACTTGTTGCTTGACAGGATCTGAAATAGACTTCTCAGGGAGGTGGTGCAGTTCCCAACCTTGGAAGTCTTCAAGAGGAGACTGGACAGACACCTTGCTGGGATCACTTGATTTCGGCAGTATTCCTGCCCAGAGCAGGGGGGTTGGACTCTATCTTTGGAGGTTCCTTCCAGCCCTTGATTTCTAAATTTTTATGATTCTGTGACTATGGAAAAAATAATACAGCAGTTTATCTGTTGCAAAGAACTCCGAAAAACCATAACGGGTCAGAATATTTTTGATGCTATGAATTCCTATTTGGAATCTCTGGGTTTATCTTGTGACTCCTGTAGTGTTTGATCCCTAATATTGTGTGACACCTTTGGATGGATATCCTGGCACTCCAGGATGCTGTGGATCTCTGAGTCTGCTTTAGGCCCTTGACATCCGAGCAGTTGGTGGACCATTACCCTGGCATGTAGTAGGCATTCATTCTTTAGTTTGTCAGGGCTTGCCTTGAAGAAGCACTTTTCTTGTCAAACATTGCTGTCTTCAGTTTCTAAAACTCCTTCCAGAAGGAGTCCACTGCCTTTAGCACAGTGCAGAATGCCATTTATTTAGATGGAATACGCATCACTCTTGTGGTAGCCTTTTTTTGTTTGACTGGCTATTCCCTTGCATCCCTTTTATTTGAATAAAGAGGGAATTGGCAATTGGTATCAGTTTGACTGGCTGGATTATTTTCTTTTGAGACCCTTTAATATCTGGTCATGTAGGTCTTTGTGTAGTGTTCAAATGTCTTGTGTTAGACAATCTGTAAATTTTAATTAAAAGGATATTCTAGTCAAGCACTGGAAAGAGAAGGGCTCTATAATTTGAAAACACGAGTAGAGACAAACACCTGCAATAAATAAGGTTGAAAAATATTCTGTGGATAATTAGCTGTCTAGAAGTGATCAAACTTTTACTTCTCTTTACCTTCTAAATTTTTAAGCAGTAGAGAAGCTGTCCTGTATCCTACACTTGACTGAAGTGCTCAGGAAGGCAGATGATATCTTTTTGTTTCTAGTGTGGCAGTAGCTGTGCCTACCTCTAATTCATTTTTGAAAGTCTGGCAACTGTTGTTATGCTGGTTTAAAGTAACTGAGAGCGGTGGTGATGAGAAATCCAGCAGATTAGGAGGAACCCACAAGCGTGACCAATTTAGTCATAGTGAAGCTTTAGTTAGGAAAGAGAAAAGGGATAACATTTAATAAGTGGCATTTTTTCTAAGAACTTACTGTGATATTAATTTCAGCAATACAGTGAGCTCTGATTGATTGTTTGTTTGTAAGCGCTGTCAAGCTCAACCAAATAATATTTTTTTCTCCTTCTTTTTTTTATTAATAGGACAATGGAGGTCTCTTAAAGAAGAGACCATACTCTGCTTCATGGGAGACTCCTTCAGGTACAACTGGTGCTAATGGTTTAGAATTAGTGGCAACAAACAGGGTATATTCTCTTAATGTCACTTTCTTGATAGCCAGATTCCTTTTGCAATGGATTCTCTTCTATATTCTTGAATTTGACCTGCGTTGTTCATAACTGTCATGTACCCCCTACTATGAAATGAACCAAGTAAACCTGAAACTTTTACTTTATGAAGACACCTTCTCTGGTAACAAATGAATGAATCAGGTTGTCAAAACTGTCCAAGCTCTCATACCTGTATACAAGCAAAAATTTAAAACTTTAATGTAACTTTGGTAATTCCAAATTTAAGAAAATAACAAGCCAGAAATTAGTGTTGATACCTATTTGCTGTAAGCGGAATAAGATCACCTTTCCTTTTCTAAAGCATGGATTATTACTGTCAAGATGAGCATATTTTTAAAGCATAGGCAAACTGAAGGGCGTGACCCCTAATTCATATTGACTTTGATGGGGGATTGTCTCCCTTTTGTAGCATGGGGCCTGAGCCTTTTTTTTAAGGCTCTTTCAAGCCTATATCAATTAACTTTCCCTGCTGTTGCTGTCACAGGACACTGGCAGCCTCCCCTTGCTGTTACCTGTGATAGAGTATAAAGGGGTGTCTGGTTTTCTGGGCATCATGCCTGCTGATTGTGCTTGAAGGTTTGAAGTAGTAATTTTGGGGGATCCTTTGGGTACATGATTGTCTGGCAGTGTGGGGGCTGGATTCAGTGGCCCAGTAGATCCCTTCCTGCCCTGTATTTTTTTTCCCCCCTGCTCTCTGCAGTGTACAGGCTAAGTGAGACAGTCGCTGTTTCTGCTTCTCACATTTTATTACCCTAACAACCCTCTCCTTCCTTTTTGTTAAGGTACCTTCTGTGATACAGTTTCAAGTGACTTAAATGTTGTTAGAGTTTTGATGAGTTCACTTTTTCATAATTCTCCCTGTAGATCAGTCTTCTGAATCGAAACTGGTTTCAAAACCCAAAGTACCTTCTCCAAACCAATCTGGACGATCATCTGAAAAATCTGTTAACGTGTTGAAAAGCCAGTCCTTTCCATCACTTCACCTTAACTCAGAAATTTCTTCTGAACCGTCCAAACACACAGAGTTTCCTGGAAAAAGAAAACGGATCTCCATGCATACGGAAATGAAAAGTTCAGGTGAACCTCATTCCCATCGGTCTGAACAACATAAAAATGGAAAATCTGAGTTTATAAAACTCATCAAGTTAAAGTCTCCACAGAATGGTATTCTGCAACTAGAGGATGCTGCTACTTCAGCCGGAGATGATATGCTTCTTTCAGAAGACTATCGGGACTTAAATGAAAAAGATAACTCTTCTCCTGTGGATTCACGTTCTGGATGCAATGCAAGTACAAATGATCAAATGTGTGTTGCAGATTCCAAAGAAAATAATTTGCAAGTAACTCACTCACAACTCTTTTTGGAAAAGTCTCATCCTTTTTCTCAAGAAAAACCTGGCATAACGAATTCTCCCGGTCAGTTAACAAGAATTCATGTAGACACTGTGTATACAAAAGAAACAGAATGCCTACCACGTTCTTCCCAGGTTCAGACGGCCAGTGTGTCGTCTTTGGTATTGGGCCCTAAGAAAGAGCGAGACCCACTGAGACCGACAGAACCTGTCCTCTGTAAAGCTGGTAATACACAGCATCCCTCAAATTCAAACAGAAGCTTTTCTAAATCAAGAAAGAACCGTGAAAAAACCTCAGAAGATGCTTCTAAGCTGCCGACAGTGGAAATTTCTGAGAAGCCTGTATCTTCAGTAAGGACTGGTAAAAAAAGTGTTGCACGTTCACTGTCTTTTAAAGGTTCAGCTAATAACCCTAGCTCTTCACAGTTTTTAAATGAGTTGGACACTGAAAGCCACACAGTAGAGACTTCTGTGCTGAATGGGAATTTAAGGAACAGTTTTGATAGTGAATATGAGAGTATTGAATGCAATCTGGAAAGTGAAGAAGAAGAAGAAATACTCTTACCACTGCAGGAAATCCTGTCTTTGAGTTCCAAACCACAGAATAGAACCCCAGACAGAGCTTGTCTTCAGGATCTTTCACAGGATACCATGTCTCCCTCACAAAAACTTCCTGTAAGTGGCTTAAAAAATTACTCCATCTTCTTTTAGAAGTTGGCTAATTATGAAAAAGAAGTACTTTTTCTAAATCAGTGTAAAGTCTGTGCATCTGGCTGTAAAACTGGCTCTTTTAAGTAACTAGACTTAAAGAGGTGAGCGTCTCTGTCTCCTTGTTAAACTGCACTTGTTCGTGTAGTATCAGAGAGCCTTACAAAGGTTACATGGTCAAAAACTTATTTTGTATTTCTTCCCTTCACTTTTTTACTTCCTATAAAAAGGAAACTTTTTTGGGGGGGGGATGTAGGTGAAGAAGTAAAACTTGACATTTTATATTTTCCTTTTTTCCCCAAACGTGGCAAGATCTTTTTGCCAAACCAAGGAAATTTGCTGTTTATGGACTGACTGCTGAAAAAACTGTTGTTGGGTTTCAAGAAATTTCCCTTCACGGTTCATTTTAATAGTAGCTGCTGAGTTCAGTTTCTCAGTAGGTCCTGATCTCTGAGATTGCAGCTATCTCCTTGATATTTTTTTTTTTTTTTTAAAGGGTACGTTTCCTTGCAGGAGGGGCTCATTGGTGTGCAGAACTGGTTCTGGAGTTGCTTTTAATTGACAGATAGAGGGAGAAAGACGTGTGACCCTGATCATACGATATGCAGGGTTTGGAGTGAGGATAGCATATAATTGTCCTTTCAAATTTACTTGTCAGTAGCAGAGAATGGCAAATAAGCTGCCCTTTTAAAATTTTATGATGTATAAATGAGATTTTACTTAAAGGTCTAGTGTAAAGATTTTCCTAATGTAATGTTCCAACCACAGGCTAATATACTTAGGAAAAGCTAAATTTTAATTAATTTTTTCCTAAACTTTTTTTTTTTTTTTTTAATTAAATAAGACCATCATGACCAGCTTGACTATATAATTTTTTGTTGTTCTCTGTTTGACTCTTTCAAACCAATTCATCTCGTTGACTGGGTTCTTGGAAGACATCTCAAATCCTACATATGCAAACGTAATCCCTGGGCAACATAAATTCTGTGTGTACTTCAACCACTTAATTACACAGCTGCATACTAGGTCAGATGTTTGTGGTACATATACATGACCACAAGCTTCTGACCAACATGCGTCTGTAGTTAGCAGGCAACACAGATGCACTGATCAGGTTGCTCAAGCACTTCCATCACCACGTATTTGTGATTTGTCTTCACTTTTTTATTAAAGAAAGTGTGTGCATATAAAAAAAATCTGACTCCTGAACGGCTCAAAAGCCTTCTTGGGTATAATTTCTACATGGTAATCAAATGCATAACTGGCAAAAGTGCTGCTTCATTTCTTGCAGCACATTTCTTTGTTATGAAATTTTACTACATTTTATAATGTAGCAGGTCCCGGGAGTTAGGCTCACTTCTAACCAGCTTTGCTGGTCTTCTGGCCTTGCTTAGTGAAAACAAGCATAATTCCCCTAGGAAGTAAACAAATGTGTGTAATTCTTGAATTGTGTATATAACTGAATTGGCTGCTGATTAATTTTTTCATATAGGGTTTTTAAATAAGGGTTGGAGATGATGCAGTAGATACTAGATAAAGATGGAGAATTGTGACCAGTGCACAAAAAGAGCTGAGCTGAGAATAAAACTAAGGGCTGAAATGGTAGACCTATGTTTCATCTTATAGACCGCAGCATCTCTTGGGGAGAAGACGTTTCCACTTCCAGCAACTGTGTAGTCTGATAGCTGGGGCTCTTTGTCCCATGTATTTTAATGTAGCTAGGCATTATTCCCCTGTGTATGTACAGCCCTTGACACAGCAGGGTCCCATTCTGTGACTAGTTCTCCTTGGTACTACTAGACCTAGTAAAACTTAAATAATTAAATTCCATTGTCAGAAATGACTTGGGCATCTAAGCTAGGTGTCTTCAGTATTAAAGGGCACTTCTGCATGTACTCTGGGGGTAGGGGAGGCGGCACTTTAATTAGAGTGAGCTGCTCTAAGTAAAGCACCGCAGCATCTCGTGTATCCGTGTCCCTGCACTTCAAAATGGTGGCAGGGTGCTGGAAATGGAGGTGCCTTGGAAAACATTCTGCATCGGGCCCTTACTCCCATTAAAAGTCACTGGGAAGCCTGAAATGCCTTTTGAAAAATCTGGCCATTAAGCTCCAGACTCCTGTTGAAAAGGGAAATACATTTTAAACCTGCTTATTTTCAGGATCTCATTAACATTTTTATTAGCAAATTAATAAGAATCTGTTCTTGAGCAGGCAGATTGGATTAGGGTTATAGATCCTACTTAGTGTCTAGCAGTGATCCAACTAATAAGACGGTGCCTTAAAAATAAGGCTTCTTACTGTTTCGTTACAGCTTCTACAGCTTCCCGTTGTTACTGAAGTGTCTTATGTGAACAGCCTGGAGCATCTTGTGAAGGAGAAAGAAGAATCCAAAAGGTTAGCATGTTTAATTTTTAAGATAAATATGAAGCTGGTGGGGAAAAAAATGTTTATTCGCTGTGAGATCTGAGGTGGCTTTTTCCTCAGAACTGATGGGCATCAGCTAGTTAAACATCTTCATCGGTTGCTTGCCCCGCCTGCCTAAACTTGTTTGCAGAGACCACCTACATGCAAGTAGTTGGTTGATAGACTCATCGTAATAAATAGGACCGTAGTGTTGGCCTATGTTCCTAAGGGACAGGAGCTGTCTCACACCTGCCACAACCAAGATTGAGTATTAGGCGCAAAACAGAAGTACTTGTTTAGGATTATTACTGTAGCTCCTTCAGAGCCTGTTGCTACTCGCGTTGATTTAGCCCAGCAGGACTCTAAAATGTCATTTGTTGGTGTCTGGCAGCATCAGAACTGCCACATCTTGGTGGACAGAATTAGCATCTTCCAAGATAGCCTTGGGGTAAATAAAAGGCATGCTCTAGAATGTGTACAGATGTCAGTCTGCAAAGATGGATGAAGTCCTAGCTAGTAAAGTACTTCAATCCACATCAGAATTGACCTCTGGAATTAAGTAACAGAAGAAGGAACAGTCTTTGCATTCGTCTCTTCTGGTTAAGTTACTCCAGGAATGTTTAGTCGGAATGATATGGAATACTTTCAAGAATTCCAAAAATTGATTACAGTAGCCATTATCATAAGTTGGGTCTCAAATGGATGCACCCAGGAGGAGCATATTCAGTATGTACATCTTATGTTGTAGTCCATGTGATACTTTACGGTCGGCTCTGGCATTTCTGGGTTAGAATTCAGATCTGGATTTCGGCTTGTCCTGTTCTTTATTGTCAGTATGTCTTTACCTCCACTGCAGGGTGGCTGAATTGGAGAAGCAGCTACAGAAAGACATTCAGCGAACAGAAGTAAGTTCTTCAGTTGAAGTAGAGGATGAAAGCACCCAAGAAGATGGAGATCTTTCAGAAGAGCACAGGTGTCTATTTTTCTTCTTCTTTCAGATCACTTGAACTTGTTCTTCAGTTTCTCACTCTCTCTCTCTCTCTCCTTTTTTTCTCTCACTGTTAATGTAATGCTAGCTATTAATGATGCTGCTTTAAGCTATTTTTGTCACTTGCTTTACCAGCAAGTTATTCCTTTGCCTTCAAGCTCTTGCACATTTACCTGGCAATAAATGTATTCTGGGCTGAATAAACCTTTTGGATAAGGTTGACTTGTTCATCAGCCAAATATAAAATTGTCTCATAAATAGGAAATATCTTCTAGTTATCAAAATCCACAAGGAAAATGTTGTGTGTGTTGCAGGGCATTTTTACAGAGATTTTCAGTAATAACTGATGCGATTCCTGATTACCACCCTGGGGAAGAGATATTTCACTTCTCAAACTCTGGAAGAATCTTCAGTCACCATAACCTTGACTTGAGGAATTTTGGATTCAACTCTCAAAATCCTATAGAAAAACTCCTCCTTAGGTGAGATTTTTTTTTTTTTCCTCCACTATGTTGTCTTGATTGGAAGGCTTCATAATGGCTAATGCATTTGGAAACTCAAAAGTATGCTTAATTGGAAGTTGTACTTAAAAATGCTAATCCTTTTTAATCCCTTTTTGAAGCACTGTAAGCATTTCGAGGCGCACAAACTTTAATTAAATGAAGGTTTAGGAATAAATTTCATCTGCGTACTGATTATATTAGAGTTTTCTCTCGTTTATCTCTTAAGGAGCTAGACTGACCATTCATCTGATTCAGCATGGCAATGCATATATTTTATTTAAACAAGAATAATAAGTGAGTGTAGATGTTCTGACCATGTAATTAGTATCGGTGGAACACCTTTTAAAAAGTAATGCTTTAGTTCTGTAATGTGTTCAGCAGTTATGCCTTTAACGAAGATAAGTGCATATTTGAAAGCAGATTATTCTTTGATTGTATAAACGCTTCCAATTTGTATAGTATGGTACTCTAGAGACAAGAGTAATTGCTCTGTCTTTGCCATTTGCCTAGGAAAACTTTGTCATTAATGAGGTGTAGTCACTGCAGTAGATTTTGTTACTCATTGGGAAAGTAGAGAAATTAATTCATTTTAGTTGCAATAATCTTTTCCAGTTAACTGAGGTCTTAAAACATTTTTTTCTAGCTTTGCAGTGCTTGTGTTCATTTTGTCCCCAAACTGATTCCTCTTTGTGGTTTGTTTTTGGTTATTTTTTTTCTCTCCCCTCCCCTTATTTTCTGTAGCTCTGAAGTAAGACAGCAGCTTTCTTTAACAACTCAGGGGTTCCTCAGTTCTGCTTACAGTTGTACTCAGTGCCCCATGCCAGTTTTAAAGTGGCTGTTTCAGGTAAGACTGTATAAGATGTATTATTATTTGACAATTATACTGCATTAGGGTATTTGTTTACTTGGATAGCCAAATATAGTGCAAATGTCAAAGCTAGAACAACATTGAGAGCCTATTCCTAATAGAATTTGGCTTCAAAACTAGAAATCTTTCTGTTTCTGGGTCCTGACTTGTTCTTGAAATATTTGGGCTGCACCTCACCTCCTGTAGACTCCAGAGATGCCTCAGACCTGGCTGTGGGCTCCAGGGCTTTGCCCATTCCTTCTGCATCTCCCTCATCACTGCAGAGTGTCAGTTCTACCTTATCCTTTATAACCTTAGACTCTCTTAAATGTGTATTTTGAGGGCAACACCTAAGCTTCATCTTTCTCTCATCTTGTTCCTCTTTATCAAATTCCTTGTTTTTCTTTCAGCCAAGTAGGATCTTGTGCTAGGCTGTTTTTGATCTTCCTTCTCCATCGAAGCAGAGCAGGCCAGAGAGCAAGCAGAATGCCATGAGCTACGCACGCCATATACAACCATTCACTGGGAGAGTCTCTGTTCTCCCAGGAGAAACTACGAGTGTACAGATGTTCAGGAATTTTCTTCTCGAGCAAAACTAGCAGCTCCAGGATTAAAATAATCTGAGAAGAACCAAGGTCATATTGCTCCCAGGAGTGTTTCTCCTAAAAGAGTGAATGTCTACACATTTTCTGTCTATACCAGTAGAAGGGGGGCTCTGCTCCAACTGCTCCCATCCTGTAGGACCTCATTTTGTTGGTGAAGGCCCTTAGACTCTGGATAGCACCTAAGGGCTGCTACTTCCTCTTACATGAGCCAACATCATGAGTTGAAGTCTCCCCAGTACTCCTCTGCAGAGATGGTTCTGACCTGAACTATCGCTTCAAATAGAATATCTAGCTTCCAGATCGCATGGATGCAGTAAACTTCAGACACGTGGGAAGAAGAGCTGTGCAATATAGATGTTCCCTGGAGCTCCATGCTCCTTTAGGTCTTGAAAGGCTAAGACGCATTAAGCTATCCTGAAGGGCATATCATGTTTTCTAATCTATCTCATACCATGAAGTATATGGACTGTACCCGAACTAGTAAAAATTCAGGCTGGCTTAGAAATGGGTGCATCTGGGAGAAGCTTTTTCCAGATACCCCCACCTAAGAATGAAAAGATTATCTTAGAATGGAAAATTCTAATTAAAGTTAACCATATACATACAGCAAGCGGAAGAAATTAATGACAGGGCTGAATGAGGGTAAATTTTGCAATTGATTTGTGCTTCTTTTCTCAAGCCAAATTTCCTTATTTTAGTTGGTTAACTTCTTATTTTGGTTATGGTCACCTGGAGAGAGTATTTCCAGACTTCCCCTCTTCTGGGAGCAGGTCTTGATCAAAGATGCAACACTTTTCAAGAGCGTTGTTACTTATGCCAAATCAGCAGTTGTTTGCAGCTTATGCTAAGTGCAAAGATCAAAACCCAGGCCTAAAAGCCGCTGGGCTTTCAGAGGCCTTTCTGGGGCCTACACAAGGTTAACTTCCTTCCTGCTATACTTACCTGCATGACTCTGGGATACAATGGTTGCATTCCAACAGCTTTTATCAGTATCATTTATTAGCATTTCATTTTTGTGCGTCTCTGCCCTTCTTCAGCTAAAAGGCCTGACTTCAATTCCTGACTATCCAGAATACCCACACTTCATGCTGTGTCTTTCTTTGGAGACTGACATTTATTTTCTATTACTCGGTTCTATTGTTTAATAAGGATTTGGATTATTTTAATACTTCAGTTTACCCAATATGTAGCTTGGTATCTTCTCTTCTTTCGACAGATGATGTCGGTTCATTCAGACTGTTATGTTTCAACACGGATGTTAGACGTGTTGATGGAGATGACCATTAAAAATGGTGAGTTTCTGTTTTTTTTTTTTTTTAAAAGGTAGGCTGAGTACAAAGGTTACACAAACAGTATTAACCTTAACAGGGTATTTTTAGAGGATATCGGTTCTTTGTCTGTCTGTCCCTGCCCACTCCAGTTCTCTTTGAATCTGTGTGTACTTTGTGCATGGACAGATAGATCAATGTGACTACTTCAGGGGGAGGGGAGAATGAATTGCCAAGCACCAGTTGATCTGCAGTGATTACTTTGTGTCTGCTCTGTCTTATGAGTGGCTTATCCCAAAGTGAAACAGCTGCTAAATTACTGTGATAAGCCCTGTTTTCCCACTTAATTGTTCATGTTTTCATAACCTACGTGATGTTTGTGCAAAACGCTTCACAAGTAACTCAAATGTAACAACAGAATGTTTTCCCCATTGTCATAAACTGGAGACCAGGAGGAAATTGTGCGTTTTGTGTAGGATGAATGGCAGAAATAAGCGCATAACTAGATCTCTTAAAAAAAAAAAAAAAAAAAAAAAAAAAAAAAAAAAAATCAGTTTCTCCCTAATTTGCTCTTGCTTCTGATGCACCTTTCTTTCCGTCTTACTTTCTCAGGGACCACCAACACTTTCTCTGTATATTTTTCAGTTCTTATTTTTACTGCACAGACCTGCTGAAGAATGCTTTGCATTTGAAAGCTTATTTAACTTTATTCCAAAGTTGGTCCCATAAAGATATCATCCTAAGAAATCCATTATGCCTCACAATTCCTGGACAGTCATGGTTACAGCATCACTGTAACACTACCATCAATTTTTCTGTTCATTCAGATCCATCAGAATTCACTATTTCATAGAAACCCACTGACTACCCACATAAGTAAAAAATATTGTTCCTTGCCTATTTAAAAAACACCTTTTTTCTTAGGGAAAAAAAAAAAGTCTTGTCCATGGTTTCCTTGAACCATTCTTTCTATCTTATTTCTAAATCCTGTTGTCTGTTTTGAACACAAATTTCACCGATGAAGAATGTCTCCTTTGTCTTAGGAATGCTGTCAGCCAAGCACCCTGTTAAATAAGGCATAAGTGTTGACTGGTTGCTAATCATGAAATTTGGGTAGAATACCCAAGTCATTTCTTTTTGAAATCTTGAGCACTTCCGAGTCCCCCCTCTTTTTTTTTTTTTTTTCTTTTTGTTGGTAGTCCTGGCATTAAGTCCCAATCCATAGATCTAGTTGAGAGCTATGGTGACTTCTTTTACCTCCTAGAAAAAAATGGCATCAGTATCTTCCCGTTTTTAGCTTAGTTGCTTCTTCAAACATCCCGTATGGTTACTAGGTATGTTTCTTGGTTCTATGCTAGTTGTGCTCCTGAGGAAAATCGACCCCTATGGTGATACCAAAAACTCTCATGGCAGTAGAGCTTAGCACAGGGGGCCATTGTGCACATTCTTTTCCTTTTTTTAATTTCACAATCAGTTGATTTTTAAATGTGTCTTATGTGTTCTGTACTCTACAGCTTCTATTGGTGCTGAACATTTTAGACCCTGGGTTCCCTCCCTGTCTGACATATCAGCTGTGTTGATCAATATGGGAGTTCACTTTAGCACTCTCTTTCCTCTGAAACATCTTCAGCCCAGCTTCAGTGAAGGTGATATTTTGTAAGTGTGTTTTATTTTCCTTTTGGGTTTTAAACATAGTAAGGCAGCCTTTCTCTTGACTATACAGTAAATAGAACGGATAACTTCAAATCCACTTTAGCCTGTTAAATATTTGACGGACTGAAGGTTTTATCTGTCCTCGGCTCTTTTTGCTGTGACTTTTAAGTTATTCTTCCTGCAAAATTAAATTAAAAGTTGGATAGGAATTGTAAATAAACTGATGTTTAAAGCACTTTTATAGTAATCTTAACTCTGAGGCTGTTTTGAAAGATATCTGATAAGTGAGACTTTTTTTGTACTAATCCAAGATTTCAGGAGTAATTCTTTTTTAATTTGTAGCTCACTTAATGTTTTCTCAGTAGATCCAAAATGCAAATGTTAGTGATGAAACCAGCAAGTGGAAACATCTCTTCAGGTCCAGCTTTCTCTTGTCTGCCAGAAACCAATCTAATTAATGTCATCAAGGTGAGACTTTAGGTTTTCTTTTCTCTTTTTTCTATTTTAAGAATGTTCTGCATCTCAGGGCATTACTGTTTACATCTTGCAAGTAGGATACTTCCATCCTGAGAGGGGACTCTCTCTCGACGTGCTTCTTTTGGGGTATAATTTTTTTCAAATAGAAATGCCTCATTTTAAAATTGACTCCAAAGCTGTATTGTAGAAATACTTTAGTTCCTGTGACATCTCATTTACATAGAGAAAACTATAGGTCCTTGAATGTACTGCACATTAACAAGAAATACTTAGACTAACATTGTTAAGGATACCAAGGATAATGTGCATCTGAGGCTGAGGGTTAAAGAGTACAAATGTATTTATCAGAACAGGGTAAATTGAGAGTATCCTGCATGGTAATGCCTGAAAAATCTCTTGGACTGTATGCTGTTGGATTGCCTAAAATAGGGGGGCCTGTGTGTGTGCTTTGTTGGGATACTATTTGTGCTGCAGCTGCTGCCACAACAGACAGTGCATGTTACAGAAGGTACAGGCCCAGATTATGACCAAAAGCTCAGTTGTGTTCAGAGGCATAACTGATAATGGTTGCACTTTGCGCCAGCAGTTGCCAATAGCTGGGAATAGCCACTGCTGCAAGGGAAGGTGTTGATGCAGTCGGCACCCAGGGGCTTAACTCACCCATTTCTGCACCTCCAGGAATGTAATACATCTTGTCCAGTGCACCAGATGCAAAATAGGTAGGAGAAACCAAACAATGAATGCGCACCAAAAATCCATCAAAGACAAAAATATCCAGTTACCTGTGAGGGCCCGCTTCTCCCAAGACGATCACTCTCTCTCCAATCTCCCAGTTCTGATATTCAGAGGGAACTCACAAAACACCTTTCACAAATGAGCCTACGAACTTCATGTCATAAATCTACTGGATACTAAAAACCATGGACTTGATGTAGACATTGTCTAACTTAAATTGCTAAAGAAAAAAAGTGTCATTTATCACAGTTTTAAATACTTTTTTCTTTAGTTTTTAGCTTTTTGTACAACTATATATCAGGATGTCTATACAGACCAAGAATTATTGCTACTGCTGTTACTGCTGTTCAAAATAAGCCTGGAAAAACTATTGAAGCAAATTCCGTTAATAGACCTTCAGTGCCTTGTGATAAAACTGCTGAAAAGTATGAGAGACTGGGATGCCAAGGTAACTCCTTAACTACATTATGTTCTTTCCTGTTTTGACTTGGGAGTGGTGGCAGGAGGTGGAAGCTCTCTTTTACGCTTAAAGAAACAAACAAACAAAAAAATCCCCGAAACAGTGCTGGGTAACAGTGCAGGAAAACCTGGGCCCTAGGGCTTTGGAACTCTTCATGATGTCATATAGTAATGGCAGGGGGTGCAGGGTATATCTAGATGTTGTTTCCTTGCCACTGTAAGCCTCTATCCTGTTTTGAGTGTACAGTATTGCCAAGTATCTGATGCTTGGCAGAATTATTGTAAATTGGAAAAATCTGCTTGCAAGAGTGAAGTGAAGATTGTACTTTGAAAGTAGCTGGTAAGCCAGCTTCTTGTCCTACAAACATGGACAGTAATGGCTGTCTTACTGTGATGAATATGACTTGTACCAATCCGGTATGAATATTTCAAGTGCAATGCAGAAAGTATCATGAAGGACATGTTCCTATTATTACATTGCATGCATTTCCAGGGAAGTGATGCTCCTTTTAACTTTTTAGTTTATATGGTCTTTTTTTATGTCTTTTTCATACATGTAACAGCTGTCTGTTGTAATATCATCATTTTTTTTTTTTTTATTTCTTTGTAAGATGTCTGAATTGTGCCTGGCAATGAGTGACCTTTCTAGTCACCACCATGACCTCCTGTGGTTGGTTCAGCTGGTCCCTAGCTGGGTAACACGTGGAAGGTAATGCACTAACATTTGAATATGTGCGTTGTAGTTAAGGTCCATATAATATTTCTACTAAGAGGGCTGAAAGTGCGATAGATGTATCATCCCCAAATATGCACAGATACAGTTTACCATGTTGTTCCAGTTGTAAGTCATTCCCAGGTTATGTTCACTTTTTTCCCCTCCCAAATATGTCACTCACTTTACATTGTGTTTAATAGGAAAAAAAATAAGGAAGAGAGAATTTTGTGCCATCAACTAAAAAAAAAGCTAATATCACTCCTTCTCGCTTCATCCTTCTCTGTGGTTTCACAAAGACAAACATGTTACTCCTTGGGTCTGTGGTGCCACTGGTTGTCAAGTTGTATAACTACACTCTTTTGTCCTGTTGACCTTTCCAGGTTTCCCAGTCATGTAATTTTGAACTCTTCTGTGGTAAATTTAGCAGCATATAGTTTGCTGCTTTTCACGCTGCTTCTGAGGGGCAAGTGCAAAGTGGGCATTAAACCACAATTAGGGTCTATTATTGGGAGCCCAGTGTATGGGTCCACCTTGCTTAAACTCTCATGTGACTGTGGTTCTTTTGAAGGTAGAAAAAGGTCAGTTTTACAATACAGGATGTATTGTGTATATACAATTATTTGTTTATGATTAAACCTGTGAAAAGTAAGACTTATTCATGTGTTTAGCTTACATGGGATAGTACATAAGATTGAAACACAGCCACGGGCATAACTATTTCAGCTTCACCTTTCCTTTTCTCTCATGTCTGAGTGTTGATGTGAGTAGTAGTGTCACATTTTCTTAAATCTCTCTCATTGTTATAGACCCATAGCGCTATAGAACAGTGGTGCTTGACCTTCTGGCCCCACAGGCCAAATAAATGGTGCAGTATTGGGCCCTCCATGTCTGAAGTTGGGTACCGGGCTCCCTGTGGGTCCAGAATTTGGCAGCAGGGGGCAACAATTAACACTGCCACTGCTACCCTGTCGCCAAATTTTCAGACCCCTGTGGAGCCCCGTGGGCCAGATGACATGGCTCTGGTGCCTAAATCTGGCCTGTGGGCCAGGAGTTGAGCACCCCTGATATAAGAGAAGTAATTGGAAAGCAAAAGTTTTTTGGTGGTATGTTTTATTGGACCAACTTTATAGTTGAGAGAAATGTTAGATAAGTTTTGGGCAATAAATATCCTTTATCAGGCCCCCT